TGTCGTAAACCCTGCATACCCTTTAAAGTTGGAAAAGCCACTCACTCTTTCAGAAGCTACCACGACTTGCAAAAGAATGACTTCACTTTTATTTTATCCTTATTATAGTAATTCGTTTAGTTTATGGTGAGTTTATAACCGTGCATATAAAACGGGTAAATTGCCTCAATGTTGTGTGCTTGTTTTCTTGATTCATGATTCAACTTGATGCATAAAATTTTATGAGCGGTTCACTTTAGTTTTCGCGTATATGCTCGGCTTTTTACAAGGATAGTTTGAGAAGTTCTTTATGCGAAAACTGTAATTGAATCCGCTCACAGAAGGAACAGTGACCGACAGAAATTGTGCAGCAAATGAGATTTTGTGCATAAAACCGAAAATGGTGCTTTGCTAATACCGTAACGTAACAACGCTTATCTCAGTTCAAAATAATCTTATGTAGTTCTATCAACTTTCACCCAAAAAATGAAATTCTTATAATTCACTATAAGTGAGTAGTATCTATTATAGGCAAGTTGATTGATCTTGAAAATTAATTGAAGTAATTTGAAATGTAGAAGGCTATGAACTCTGTGAATCCATATCCCTGTAAATAATGTCAATCTGAATAACTTTCCCAAAAAATCTTTTTCTGTACTTGAGGATATGAGAGTAGTTTACTTGAGTCAATTGCTAATTTCTCATTCTAACTTCATAATGAAAGGTTTTTCTTCGAGTTTGATGTATGTCATCTAGATTTGGGATTATACAGATGATGCACGTCTTGCGGTTTTCTTTAGCTTGCCCAGCTTGTTTAGGTCAAATTTAATAATTGAAGTTTGACCCCCTTTTTGTTGATAGAGTGATCTGATATTTGGTACACACATTTAGTTTTCATTACAATACAATTTAATAAATTCTGTATCATTGTAAATCTAAGATGGCCGCAGCTACAAAATGACGGATTAAATATGTTTTCACAACTACCTTGATATGGGTATCAAATTACAGGGCTTGACTAGTAGCATAGTAGTACATTTTGAAAAAGTTGCAAATCTAAACAAAAGACTTTCAACTCAGAATCGGGATACAAGCATAGATCTCCCACTCAAGTCAAGACTTTGTGACATAAGGGTGGCTTAAAACGATGCGTCGTTAGCGATACGCCACCCAAGTTAAGGTGAAAGGTTAAAACGTGCCGAGAACTGTGTGACATTTGGATGTATAAAAATTAGGGAAACTAAAAACTTAAAAATAAATGAGAAAAACATATTACACGGTTGTATTGAAAAAAAAAATAATTATGTAAAATGATTTAGTGAAAATCTCACAATAAAGTGTTTTTTGAATACGTTCGTAGGTACCCAGATATCACACCATGTAAATTCCAATAGATCAATAAATAATATTAAAATTGCAATTCAATTCATGGTACTTATTACATGCCTATATAGGTAACTTATTGTCTTGCGATTTGATTCATTCCAACAACATTTTTGTGTGATTCTTACATTTGATTTTTTTCGATAGAATACTTAGATACTCTTTTAGTTATTTGCGAAAAAACGTCGCTAAACGTTATTTTCAACATCTCGCCACGTGTTTCAATCACCAAGTGATCATCTTCAAGAGGAAGATTAAACTGGTATTTAATGTTAATCTTTAATCACTAGCGAATAAGCCAAAAAATATTGACATTCCTCAACAACACGTTTCCAATTTTCGATCGAATGCTGATACAATATTTTGTTCTATATGTAATTGAAATGACTGATACTTTATGAAAATTCATAACGTATTAAAGTGACACTTTATTGTGATATTTTCGCTCTGAACAGTTTTCAAAACCGCAACACTTGTTTCGCTATACAATAGCGTGTTCATATAGTCTGAACACGCCTGAGGAAGCCATACAATAGCGTGTTCGTACATAATAAACTTGAGGAAGATATTGTATATTGAAATGCGACTTGCGCTTTTGAAAACTGTTCAGGAAAAATCTCACAATGAAGTGTTACTTGGGTTATACTTTATCAGTTCGATTCATTCACTCTTCTGATTATTTATTTACTCATACTTATCAATATTTTCATTTTTCCGTTTATATACTCACCTATTTTCAGAATCAGAGATACACTTCTATCATTTCGGTTTCCGAAATCGAGTCATATTTAACTGTCACTTCAACTATTCTGAAATGAATATTTGAAAATAGTCTCAAAAGCTCCTCGTTCCCTCTAGTTTTATTCCGAATGTTATATTTATTTTGTTGGGAATCGAATTTTCACACAGACACAAAATGCGTCGTTCAATGGCTTTCCGCCTATTCAATTTGAATGTGTGACATTTCTAAAGTGAGAAATGGAAACTTCTCGATATTCGATAGGTGTATTTCAGTTAAATATGCCTTTATTGTATTCACAAGCGTAAGCATGAACTCGTGTAACACCTAATGGTTGAAATATGTGGTAATTCACGAGAAGCGTTCGTTAGCAGTCGATGCAAATAATTTTAAATCTTCGGTTCAACTTTTTTAGATTTCTTTGTCAACAGTTATAGAAATATTCCACACTTTCGTTTTGATTTTAGTCAATTTATCGTTCAACATGTACTTTTCAACAACTTTTTCCATAACATGACACAACCGTTCATTGTATTTCAAAGAGGTATTAAACCAAAAATAGTTCTTCAAACTTCTGTTCCTCTACAATATATTTTTTATTGAGTTCAATCAAGGCCGTCGCCATGGGGGGATGGGGCGGGAGCCTCCCCTCCTGCTTTTTTGACTTGGAAAAAAGAAATTTTGGGCCGTGAAGATAGAAAAAAATTATAGTAAAAAAATTAATGAAAATTTAAAAAATAAAAATGAGAGAACCGAGAGAAAGTTGGGATTTCCCAACATGCATAACTTGGAGATCCCATACTTTGAAATTCTGAGTTTGAAAACTTCAAAAAAGTTTAATTTCTCCCAAGTAAGAGAACAGTCCTGAACAGTCCACAAATTTTGAAGTGACAATTTTACAAAATTTTTATTGAGTTCAATCAAGGCCGTCGCCATGGGGGGATGGGGGGGAGCCTCCCCTCCTGCTTTTTTGTTTGAAAACTTCAAAAAAGTTTAATTTCTCCCAAGTAAGAGAACAGTCCTGAACAGTCCACAAATTTTGAAGTGACAATTTTACAAAGAAGTAATCAATGTATAATAAACGTGTCTAATAGAAATAATTCTGAAGTAAAATTTAGTGAATGATGAATTATGTAGAAGACACATACACCGTTCAAAAATAATTAGAAGATGTATTTCCATGCCGTTGGCTAGCGCAGCGGTCCAAAAACGTTTTGTGGCGTCACATCGTCACCATGGCAATTCGATAATGAATATATTGGAATGTTTGTCCAGACTGTACATACTAACAGTCTGGACCAGATTAGTTGAAATAATAGTTCTCAAATTAGTTCCGAGAGAAATAGTAAAGTGATTTCAAAGTTTAAGTATCGTCGAAGTAAACGATATTGTGAACAATTAAAGTTGGCGGCCTTCTCAAAGGCTAAAAAACCTAACATAGAAATGAACCGGCTGCGAAATAGTTCACGTGGATTGCAGAATTGGCGGTTTGTATTGGATAATGTTGACTAACCCAGTTTTATAATTGTCTGAAGTGTCATACAATTAAATTTGAAGTCATTTTACGATGACGAAAAGAAATCGGGGAATGCGCGGATGGTTATCGCCGTCGTGTTCAGTTCAGGAACTGATCGCGATTTGAGTGTTGAAATTCAATATTGATGCAGTTATAATTAGTAATAATGAGTGTGATAACAACGCATACTTTTTCCAGTGTAGTGATTCCAATAGCGATGGTGAACAATGCGAAAAAGAAATCCCAGTGAATAAGATTCGGATGCATTTGAATATTGAAATACAGAAAGTAAGTTTCACTGTATATAAGACTCTACATCTCAAGTTTGGCTTCGAGGGAAACAAACTGTACGTAAAATAGTCAAAAACAAACCTTATGAACGCAAGACGCGATGTGATACAGGATTACCAAAACCTTTTGGACGAAACTTGGTATGACACTCTCGAAAGGGTGGACTGATGGTTCGAGAATGTGTACGCCTAACATGCCTGCAAACAAAGGATCGCGACTAATCATCGTGCATTGCGGAGGAAGTGAAGGATGGGCTCCAAATTATTTGAAATTATGTGGAAAAAAACTTGAGGACTGCAATGTTGACTATCATAAAACATGGATGCCAATATTTTCGAGAAATGGAAAACAAACTGATTCCAAATTTGGATACGAATAGTGTAATAGTTCTTGACAACGCTTTCTACCATTCGCGACAGCTCATCAAAGTACCGAATAAAAATTTGAGGAAAGATGAAATACGAAATTTTTTAATGGATAAAAATTTATATTTTAAAGATAACTATACCAAAAACCAACTACTCGAAGTACTACAAACAAAAACATTTGAAAAAGTGTATGCCCTTGAGAGTATTGCTGAAAAGTATGGACACACCATACTGGGACTTCCCCCCTATGTTTGTGTTTTCAATCCCATCGAGTTGATTTGGGGAAAATTGAAAAAAAGCATCAGGCGTAATAATAATTTTCCAAATTTTGATAAGAAGTTAATAGAGGTCATTAAAGAGAATAAGTATCTAATATTACCAAAGAAGACTGGTAGAACAGGATTAAAAAAGTGATTTTAGTTGAAAAAACTATATAGAGATTGGACACTTCCACATTATTGGTGGAAATGAATTCATTATTGATTTAAATGACGACAGTGATAGTGAAACAGAAAATATGGAAGAGGAATTATAGTGACTGGATTAACTATAAATCGGATCAATTCGTGAGGTTGCAGTCAATAGTCTCGGCAAAATTTACAATGTATCAAATGATCATGCCACTATTGACTTTGATAAATGAGGACTTTGTGGCGGCTTGCATACTTTTTTCATTTTTCTGATATAGATACTCAAATATGTAAAATACGTTTCGTCATTTCAGAATCCGCCACAGATTTGATAGAAGGCAAGTACGGCGAGGTCCAAGCTCAACTTATCTACGGCACCTTTACCACTCCTCCGAACAGCATATCAGGAAGCGCGGTGTGTGCGTTCAGTCTTCAGGACATCACCGACACATTCGAAGGAAATTTCAAAGAACAGGCAGCCATCAATTCCAATTGGCTGCCGGTATTAAGCAATAAAGTACCGGACCCGAGGCCGGGGCAATGTCACAATGATAGTAGGACGTTGCCGGACTTGACACTAAATTTTATCAAAACGCATTCACTGATGGACGAAAGTGTGCCAAGCTTCTTTGGGCAGCCCATCGTCATCAGGACCAGTTTTCAGTGAGTATTTTGTTTCTACGTACGAAAATTTTTGCCGAAGCGTCACAATTTTTGCGTCACATTAACAAAAAATACATAGGTCCTAGGTAGAACTGAAGAAATATTTTTTATGTTAGAATTGTTCTGAAAAATCTTCAACCAGTTGCTTATCATATAATTTCACTCTTGGAGGGAATGCCTGAAATAACAAATATAGGTAGGTATATTTTAAACGAAATATATAGTATGGTCAATGGCTCTTTACAAATGCGTCAACAATTTGTGTACCTATCCGAAATAAGTCGACAAAGTAATGAAAGGAAAACGACGTACTCGTATTTCTTTTCAAACAAACAAACTGAACTTGTAATAAAGAATAGCTTTCATTTATGAAATTTAGAAAAAATAACTAGGTACACATAACGATTCTGGGTCAACTTTATCAAATTCATTATTCATTTATTGACTATTTTAGAAATGCCTAACAATTTATATTCTATATTTGATCTCCGTTATCTGACAATTCAAATATTCCAATATGCGGAATATTAGATCGTGCCATTCAAAATTTGAGGTTCAAAATCATAATCACTATAAAAAATTCACTTACTACAAAAGTGGTAAATATCCGCCGTTTAATAGTTATGATATCAACTATTTGTCTATTATAAAAAACTTCAAACCGTATAATCAACACTGTACAGTCAAACAAAATAAAACAATAGTAATACTTCACCAAACATCGCTGTTTCGACCCGTCAATATTTCATCAGTGGTGCTAGGCTGAACAACGATGCATTGCTGGACTCAACTGTTCTTAAAAATCAAGCTCAAGAAAGAAAAGGCGATGACATCTCCTCTTGCGCCATCTATGAGGATCGATATATGAGTAATTACCGAATGTCAAAGATAAATATGGAATATGATCTCAAATTGACTTTACTGTGGTTGCAGATTCATAAATTGACGAAAATTTTCATGAATCTTCTTTCATGTATATTTCAAAAAACCAAAACCTGATTCTGATATGTAACTCCTCTCTTCGAATGGATCAGTGATAGAATATACAAGATGCATGAATTTTTCAGGATTGTTTCTCATCGTTCCAGTACGTCCAAAGTGTCAGGAAGAAAATTCTTTGGTAATTGGAATTCTATATAAATTGAGATCATCGTTTATATTTATCAAATATCCGAAAATGATATATTTCAGTCTAAATCATTCAAAAATTCAATATTTAATTTCAGTATGGTACACTGCAAAAGTATATTTGGAAACTCCATAAGTCTTTGCAAGTTAAGAACTCTCTTAGACTTTCACTCCCTTATTTTAAATGAATATTTGCCTTTTTATCCACGAAAAAAAATAAGAAGAAACATTCCAACATCTTATGTAACTAGCTCAGATACTCATAAGAATGATACTAGGGAATCCAATAATTTAAAAACTGCAAAAATTAAAACTAAATTTGGAAGAATATCGTTGTACTCTCACGGATAATAGTTTACCACCAAAAATTAATCAAATACTTCCTTACCCAATTTGGAAATGATCTAATGAAGTATATATTGAACAACTGGCTTTTTTCTCTTATTTTGTTTAATTAGAGTTCCTCTAGAATTATTTGTTCATTATTGTTATTGTTTCTCTAAAAAAATTGTTTGTTTCTTAGGATCGATAAACGTTAGATAATAAATTGCTAATAATAAAATAAATTACTACGTGGTAGGAAATCATAATGAACGAAAGAGAATTGAAAGTTTCAATTCTCTTTTCTTCGTTAGATAATAATAAAAACAAACGAGGCTTCACAAGGCGATTCGTTGCGAAGCCAAAAGATCGATATTGGTCCTCTCTTTCAACTCTAACTATCACTACAAGGTAACGAAAACAAAAAGTTCGTGACAAGAAAACGCTGTTTTGTCCCACCAAGGTCTCATCGGAGTGCTAAGTTGAGCCACGAATACATTGCTCGACTTACCTTGAAGGACGAACCCGCCATCTATGGAATCAACAGAAGACTCAATCCATGAATATTGAAGATGAACGAGGCTCGTCAGTAACGTATAGGTAATAGTTCAGCCCAGCACCGCTGATGAGATATTGGTCAGTTGAGTGAGCACGGTCTGGTTTTGGACCACGAATGCCTTGTTTTTGGGTTTTGGTTTCATCTAGTTCCTTGCAATGAGAGCTGCAGTGAAAAACGGAGGACGAATCTCGTTCAGCGGTCAATGTCTAATCTTGCCTTTGATATGGATATCATAAACGGTGTTGCTTCAAAATTCAAAATTATTTTGTAGAATAGCATGTTCTTTTTCTGATTTGTTAATGGTGAGTGGATAGTATTTCGACCATTAATTGTTTTTTTATCCCATCATTCAGTTCCTGGATAAATGTTTTCTAATCTACAGAATAGGTTTTTTCAGAATCATAAAATCAGATTATTATAAAAAAAAATTATCTTGAAAATTATTGTGCACCATTAATTATCAGTCTTTTGAAGATGTACTTCTGGATATTTTGGGCACAATTGAAGCATACAAGAATTTGGATCAATCAAACCGTTTCTATATTTTCCATATAGCTCAATTCTAAATCTTTGTAATAAAAATTATTAGCAATCATTCATTTTCTTAAATTACTAACACGAATTCTTGGGCACATCAAGGAACGGGGTATTGTAAAACTTTTCTTAATATTACATTCAAATTATATTGTTCTATTAGTTGATGTGTTTGATTTTTTTTTCAAAATACAACCACTTGAGCTGATTGTTTATTTTCCAACTTGGAAGAAATTACTCCTATATAGCAAAAAGAAGTTGTCATTTATGTCTTAACAAATATCTTCTAAAACGTTTTTGCGTAATATTTCGAAAAGATAAGCTGTAAAAGAAGAAGATGAAGGGCGGTTAAAATTTGTCTGATAAGTACCAAATGAAGTTTTATGAGGGCAGAAATTGCATGTTTCATCATAAAAAATATTTGTGCGCTGTTTTCATATTGAAAGTTCTGCTAACCAGTTTGTTTGAATTTCTGCCAACTTCATCATTTTCAAACGTCCAAATCAAATTAACTGCCGATTTAATTTTCAGATACACTGAATACAATTTGCGTCAAAGAAATCATAAACAACATTCAGCTATGAAATATATGTGGAAATTCCTATATGATGAATTATTAATTGAATTGTGTAGCTTTTGTGATATGCATTCATTTTATCTATTACTTTTTGTTTCTTTATTATTCAATGCATTGAAAACACATGTACTAAAATTCAAATTTCATTCATTTCAGTTATCGATTCACCCAAATTGCAGTGGACCCACAAGTTAAAGTACCTGGTGGAAAGACTTACGATGTTCTCTTCATCGGAACAGGTATTTTCGAAAAAATTGCAATCTATAAAATCAACAGCAGTTATCAATTTCAATCTTTCAGATAATGGAAAGGTCATAAAAGCTGTGAATGGCTTGTCGGCCGACTCGAGACATGGAGTTAGAACCGTTGTTGTGGAAGAAATTCAAGTCTTTCCTGTCCACGTTCCAGTACGGGGCATAAAAATAATGAAAGGTGCCAAAGGTGACAAGGAGGAATCTCGACTCATCGTCGTCTCCGATACAGAAGTGCAATCACTCAGAGTGCACAGATGCGACAGCAACAAAATATCAAGTTGCAGGTAAGTGAGAATTTAATTTACACCCTGTATATTAATTACATCATTCAAATGCAGTGCATAAATGTTTGTACAACTTGGTTAAACTGGAACGCATTTTGAGGAGACACTGTGTCACCCGTATATATGAAGATATGAAGACGAGAAAATACTGTTGATTATGTCCATTTTGTTATGTAGCATATCCTTGTAGTCAGTTCAAATGTTATCTTACCTCAATCTGGTTAGATAAATAAAGAAATAAATAAAGAAAACTCTCAGAAAATAGCCCAAACTAATTTCCACTTGAATGCGCATGAGCAACGGGAACAGTTCGCAACAATTCCTCCTCGAGTGCAAGAACGATTCGGGACGGTTCAAGACAGTTTTGGATCATTTCGCAGTCGAAACCAGAACCAGAATAGAGAATACATCAATTCGAACTTATTCTCCTCCATAAACCAGAACGCTCTATATCATCTGCGCATGATCCTGACGTCCTAGAACCTGAATTTCGTAGAACCAAAACAAACCTTTGTTCCTGGTTCCAGGGCGAGTGGAGGGACGGACCGGCAGTGGGAGCGACGGTGGATTTGGTAATGGGATTATGAGATTATAGCATGACAGTACTTAATGATCTTCATGAATCGCGGAGTATCCTGGCCTGGATAGTTTTTTCGGTGGCAATGGTTTTGGTGTTTTCGATGCTTATTGTGTGGCCTGTTTCTCGATGATGTTTGAAAGGAATAAGGCTGGATCTGATTTACAGACCTCAAGCTCATGTTCATAGGTTCTGTTGGAGACTTTTCTGTTGGTCTCGCCAGTGTAAGTTCTGGAGCAGGTGGAACATGATATTTTGTATAAGCCCCGTGCCTCATTGGGTATTGTGTCCTTAGGTGTTCGTATAAAAGTGGAAATTTGATTGTTGGCTGTGAATACCTACTGTTATGTTATACCATGCCCTGTTACTTATATCATGCCCCTTCATAATCCGGCTCACTTTGTCTGTAACTCCAAAAATATAAGGAAGATAAGCTTTTGGATGGTCCGTCTGTTCATAGAGCTTTTTGGGATGCAGGGTACGGGTTTGCTAGAGTTGGATGGATTCTTGGATTTGGGATAGTCCTTTTGGCGAAGGGTTCATCTGGTTCCTTGGATCTATTGTGGCTGTCAGTGAGTCTGATAGTCCTATGTATGAGAAAATATAGAACGGAATTCAGTTGGGTAGGAAAATGATATGGGACTTAGCATTGACGTAGCAGTTAGTATGGGTTGGTTTTTCGTAAACAGTGTGTGAAAAGTAATTATTGGATTTTGTGATAAGAACGTCCAGGAATGGAAGTGAGTTTTTATTTTTGAATTCCATTGTGAATTTTACATCCGAATGTAAGGAGTTGATGTTTAAGAATGTATGGAAACTTTCAATTCCATGAGACCATATAACAAAGACGTCATACGTATCGAGGTCCAATATGCAGGTTTGAGGTCAAATATGTCAATGGCTCTGGTTTCAAAGTATTTCATGTGAAGTTTTACAAAGACTGGAGAGAGTCGGGCGCCTTTCATTGGTTTGTAAAATTTGTCCTGGAAAAGGAAATATGTTCTTGACGTGCAGTGGTTGATGAGGTTGAAAGTGTTGGGGAATTTGGTGTTTCGTTTTGAGAACAGGCAAGGTTTCGGACAGTGGGATATTCGTGAAAAGGGATACTATGTCAAAGCTAACAAAGATGTCTGTTTGTTGGATATTGAAAGATTTCAATGTAGTGGTAGGGATTTTGGACTCTTCGGCTAGAGTGTGGAGAGTATTAGCAAGGTGTTTGGTAAGGTCGTGTGTGTGGGGAATTCGAAGACGATGGGAATGATATAGGACTCTAAAATGGGGCAAAACCGCGGATACGTATTTCTGGCTATTGGTAAAACGTGTTTGCCTGAAAACTACACATATGCACGGAGCCAGCAATAGGGGTCAACCGCACATTTGTGTTTCTGGTTAGGGGACCACAAGAAGAACCACAATATGCGGTTGGCTCCTTTGGTGGCTCTGTGCATTTGTGTAGTTTTTAGGCAAACAATCCTCAACATCATCATAATGTTTTTAAAACTCAACAGTTACAAAAAAATTGCGTCGTTGTTGACTAATTGAATTTCATTTAACGTGTGCTTTTCGTGCATATCATTATTCACTTGATCTTCATCTTGCTCTGATTTGTTTCAATTGAAATTAGTAAGAAGCGAAAATTTGATAACTTCACAAAATACATCCATCCTCCATCGTCACTTGATGAGATTCCAAATAATTTGACCCCTGCCTCTGTAATGTTCTACATTTCTGTCTCGCTCTCTTTTTATATCTTTCTATTTCCTTTTCGATTTTTTTAATCTACCTCTACCTACCTCTCTACCTCTATTTTATTCTATTTCTCTCTCACTTCCTTTCTCTCTCTTTCGTTCTCTCTCTCTGTTTCAGTCTTTCTTTTTTGCTCTCTCACGTTCTCCTTCTCTTTGTCTCTCTTAGAGCATGGTACAGACACATTTTTTTTGAGGTTCTGAGAAAAAGATCCTGACTTTTTCCTTGAATTACTCCTGACATTTTATAGTACTGAATATGAAGGTCTTGCATTTCTACTGATATATCCATTCATATACTGAATGAAATTAATCGAGGAATGTTATTGTTCTTTAAATCTTGAAATTTGTGAATTAATTAATCTTTATTATCTTTGCATTCATCTTGTATACAAAACACTCATGTTTTGAATTGTATTTTTCGTCTAATACCCCTTGATTTTTGAAAAATATTATATATTTTATTGCCTCAAAAAAGCATGAACAATTCTTATGTGTGGTTTGTCCAGTTATTGATTTTCAAAAACAATTAATGAAGTTAAGATAATATGAACTTCTTCAAATGTCTCCCTGCGTTCCTTTGCTTTCGACATCTTGAAGTTATCAATTATATAAAAAACGTTTTTTAAAATAAAATATAAATAATTCTTCAAATCAATAAACCCTACTTTTATTTTACAGTGAATGTGTAGCTCTCCAAGATCCCTACTGCGCTTGGGACAAAGTGCAAGGCAAATGCAGGTCGAAGGGTTTGGGACGATGGGGCGAAGAAAGTTACTTTTTCCAAAGTGTTAGTACTGGAGAACATACTGCATGCCCTCCTCCAAAGGGAAAGGATACTAGTTCAGTTGAAGGGCTGAGCTCAATGCAACCCAAGTACAGTCCAGACCTTCAGCCGAGTAACGATAAACCAAATGGACAAGTTATCAATATTATTCAAAATAAACCTTTTGATAACAGTGGTGAGTGAGATATTTCTAATAATATTCCTTGTTTTTTGTCCACAATCATTAATTTTTTTTAAATACCACCCTAAATACACATACCAAAATTTTCACCGAATAACTTTTTTAACCTATTTTGTTGACTATAGAGTCTGCTTCTAAATTAATCTCATATTTTTTTGCGTGAAATGATGGAAAAATGTTTCAACATGATGTGTGATAACCTGATCCAACGCCATCATGATATTATTTCAGTATATGAAAATTAAATATTAGGCATATTATTTGATGAGAAAGTTCTCAGCATTCTCCTTGAAAATTATATCATGTGCAATTAGAATAGATGAAATAAAGTTTTGAAAGGTACCCTTTAAATCACAGGCTGTGAAAAACATCAATTACAGCCAGTATCTAAATAAACTTTTGCAATGACCCAAACATAGGCTTCAATAACAAGCAATGAAATACAAAAATTTAGTTTTTTTTATCGAATTGGAGCATTCGAAACACTGAACTTTAGCTTACTCCTGAAAAAAATTCTCTAGAACTGAAATCTGGGGAGTTGCCGATGAATGGATTACCTCGTGTGTAAAAAATAAGTCAAATATATAATAATTATTGATTTTATGAAGTCACATTCTTCTACTGTTTCATTGGGGGTTCGTCAGAGCTGAACTCATATATCTTCTCTTTATATTATTAATGAGTGATATAAAACTTTCAAGTTTTATATCACACATTTATGTAGATGAAACAAGCCAAATGGTAGCAAGAAAGAAACTCTCTCTTCAGCAACAGATGTGTAGAAATAATTCAATTATTCAAGTCTAACTATTGATCAAAATCTAAAATGGAAAGAATATCATAACAAAGCTGGGCAGCATGTGTTTTTAATGAAACAAAATTATGTGGAACAGTGGCATTAGATAAGCTTAAAATAACCTGCCATAGACTTGTACAATCCATTTCATCCTAATGACTGATGACTAGGTATTCTTTTAGGAAAATTCAGGCCATACTATGAATAGGTTGACATTTATAAAAGAGTTTTCAGATGCCTAGTTGGACTGCATTATGAAGGTCCTAATTTCATCTCTACTTTATCAAAGAAGAGCAAAATAATTATCCATCTTTATTTTCAATTGGTCACTAGATTGATCATACTTCAAGCATATTTTCAATCATGCTTTACCTTTACCATTAAATTATACTTAGTCTTTGTTTAGCAATATTTTTTTCTTTGTGTTGCATGTTTTACATAAATTGATTGAAAATATAAATTAGGTGATAGAGTTTCTTCAATAGCAAATCTTCTAGAAAATTATTTTTATTTCGAATTCTAGAGTATTCAAATCAATTATGAAACATAAAAACATAGGCTTTCACGGACAGAGAAAACAAAATCCGGGCTAATAGGCGGTGGTGTTTGCTGTCAGTGCATATACCACTGATGATTTCTGTTCCATTGTTCCACAGCCTACCATCCCAGATTTTATTTCCTTCAATAAAAATAAAAACTATAATATATATTAATATTTTAGGTCCAGCAGTGACGGCGGCAGACTCACTTCCTAATCAGTACTCTGTTGAAACACTGATCATGGCTGTTGTAGCAGGTTCAGTGTCGGCACTAGTTGTAGGATTTTTTGCTGGTTATTTATGTGGTCGAAAATGTCACAAAGATGAAGATGATAACTTGCCATATCCAGATACGGAATATGAATACTTTGAACAACGCCAGAACATGAATAGGTAAGATATAAATTTGAATGAAAATATCTTTTTGTTTCCTGATATTTTTTGATTATTTATATCTTCTGCAATACTGCTTTAAAAATATTGACTAACTTTTAAAGCATTATTTACAAAATATTCATTATTATTTCTGAATTATCCGGTTGTATTGAAGTATTTTCAGAGGTATACCGAATTCAATATATTTTTTGGTTTAGTTTTCATGCAAAGTTACAGAATGTCAAATTAGTAGACCAACTAGTCATTCCAAGTGAGTTCAAGAATAATATAACTTCTTTATTTCATGAATTTCTGTATACAAAATTACTATTATGTAATGGAAAAAAAAAGTATTTATAAATCACTTCTCAATATAGTAGGAAAAATTTTATAAAAAAATAAATTATTTTTGTTTTCTCAACTACCGATGGATTAAATAGCGGTAATAAGAGTTATACTAGTTTATCATGTTCATTGCAAGATATTCAATGGAACATGGAATAACTCTTATTAGAAGCACAAACTTCCCGACATATTTTTCATATACAGTGTGACACATCTAAGAGGAAGACACCCCTGTATTTTAGTCATTTTTTAAAGCGGATATTTGATTTTTGGTATAGGCGCAGACCTTTATGGGCCGCACTTTTTGCAATACTTAGCCCGATTGTCGCCTTGAACCCAACCTACTTCAATCCCGCGATAGTTTGCTTTACGTTGAAGATACCGAAATAAGTTATTTAGGAATCGATTTTGACCCTACATACCGAATTTAAATCCAAATTTCAATTTTTTTTTTCGTAATTCAAATATTCAAGTCCGATTTTCAATTAATGGTTTCAAATAAGGAGCTACAGAAATGATAAAATAGTCGAAATCAATGAAATAAATCTTTACATAATGAATATTATTTTTGTAGCTTCTTATTTAGTACCATTAATTGAAAGTCGGACTTAATATGAAAATTACAAAAAAAACAAAAATCAAAATTCAAATTTTGCGTTGAAATTTGGTATGTAGGGTTGAAATTAATTTCTGAGCTACTTCTTCAAATAACTTATTTCGGTATCATCAAGGCGAAGTAAAATATCGAGAATTTGCCTATTTCTCAGAAACGCAGTAGGCTGTCACTCGGGCTAAGTATTACGAAAAGTGCGGCCCACGAAAGCTCTGCCTTAACCAAAAATAAAATAGTTGCTTTCAAAAATGGCTAGAATACAGGGGTGTCTTCATCTTAAATTTGTCACATTGTATATACATATGCATTGATATGTTAGTAAATTATGAAAGTTCAATTTCCAATCAGATCCTGAGTAATGAAATTATTTGAATAGTGAAATTGAATGAAAGTGTGTTATTATTGATACCTTTCTTTCAGTTTACTCAAATAGAATCAGTTCTTGTTCTGAAATGTCCAACTGAATTTCTTTTCTCATTGTACTTTTCACATGGCAGTTTTAATTTCAAACAGCATGTACATCATTCAAATTATTTTCTCAATTATCTTCAAATACTTATCCAAAAAATGAAATGAAATATAATATACATAAACATACTGATAGTAAAAAATATATATAAAAAGCATTTTTGAGGTTCCTCAAAAAAATCCTATTAAAATGAAAAAGTATGGACATTGACTCCAGAGGTAACTATTTGAAAGAGCAGGTATTATTTTCTTGGTGTTTACATTAAATTACTCATTTTTCAACAATTTAGTTTATAGTATTGAAAAAATAATCATCACGTTGATCCAAAAAAGGTTTTGTAAGAAATTAAATGTGATACCCATTCGATTTTCATACTTACACTACATATTCCTTCGCGATTCTTAAAATTTCCTATAAAACATTGATATCTGTGAACATAAATTGCGGTTTTCAGTAGGATAGCAGCAGAGCCAAAACTACTTCCTCAAGAAGAGGTAACATATGCGGAACCAGTACTAGTCCCTCAGCCTCCACCAAAACTACACTCACCTAAGAATACTCTACGAAAAGGTCCACACCAGAACAATGCAGAAACCTTATTCCAATTCCAGACGGATGCTGGATATAATGGTAGAGACAACTACAGAGGTCGAGATAACTTTGGAACACTGCGCTCACATCAGGTAAACGGACGGGAATACTTATGATTGGAATTTTAGGACACTGCGTTTATACATCCGCAAGTCCTGAATATGTTTGTCATTTCACCTTCCAAGGATTCCTCAGAACTTTGAGAGATCTATCTCATTTGACTTTTGTAAATCAAGAATAAGTCCCACTAATGTTACACTGATGTATCCATTGTTTTTTTCTTATTTTCAATAGAAATAGTTTACATTGAATAGACAATAAAATAATTGGCAGTCAAGTTAATAAAGTATGCAATCCTCTTGTATTATGATTAAAATAACTAACAAATCATAAAAGTAGCAGTAGTTTCACTAAACTGCTTCAAAGTTATAATTCTATTATTTCTTCATGTTTTTGTAATAATCCATGTCCAATGACCCAGTAATAAAATACCAATGGAGTATGCGTTCATTTGAAACATACAATATTTGTTGTCAATTTAAAAATCATTTATACCTCACGAAATATTTGCTTTATTTGTATATGAATCTGACCGCTCCGATATTTTAAAACATTATATTCTGTCATTTTCAAGTACATTGTTTCAAGAACTATCAAATTAGATTTATGAAATAAAAACCAATATTAATACACCCCTTATTTTTGTACCCTTTCAGGTGACATGTATTTCTTTGTTTGAAAAAACTATCATGTAATTATAACTACTTAATATAAAATAAAGTGAAAATCAGGTGAACGATTTGAAAAGAATCAATTGGTAGATAACATTGATTCAACAGTTTTGAAACCTGTTAATTGGCACTGTCAATTATGTACTGAATTTTATTTAAGCAGGGCTTTTAGGCACATAATAGGATAACTCATGAAAAATAGGCTGTATCGTGTCCATTCAAAAACAATTCATTCTCAGGTACAACCTGAAATTATAGGAAAAGGTCGGTTTTTGTTAAAAAGAATCATACCATGACCCAAAAGAGTCCAAAGCCTGTGGTGTTTTTTGAGACTCATTGGAAGAAGTGATCGAGTTGAACGGCTCCCAAGTAACAAAAAACCCTTACAGATGTTATGAAACGGTATCCCATTGAAAATTATAAATATTTGTGGGTTAGTAAGTAATATACGAAAATTTGCTTAGTGAAACAATTATTTTTGATGAATAATAATTTTATTCAAAGATATAAATTGAATCTTCCACAAAATCACTTATCTCTGGAAAATAATTAAGACATTTCCAGTTTTTCTTGAGAATAATTTTCAATTCGCATTCCTGAAAAAAAAAGTATGAGTGACTTGACAGTTCATATGATAAGGAGTTTCCTACTCTAGAAAATACTTCAGTAAACATTTTCAAAATTAACATTGGACATGCACTTACTTCTTGATCCTGAATGGAAAGTATTCTTCTGTGTCATCATGAATATTTCAGTATGAAATCTGACAAGCTTTTCAAAATATCAACAATATTTTCATATTTTATATGCTAGAGTAGATAGTTGAAACCACTTGCTATCTTGTTTCATTAGTATTTTGCCAGATAAATTATTTGGGTGATTATGTGATTTCTCTCAAGATATATTTCATTATAACTTGGAAACAGCAAGTGCCAAACTAGGGGTGGTAAGAAGGAAATTGAAATTTTTTTCTCAAACTCCTCAGGATTAAGTGATATTTGAGCAAAAAAATTATTCAGGCAAGGATTCCATCAAAAGCCACTGGAGAAGTGAAGGTGTTATTAAAATTCTTAGAGAATAAGAAAACTATATGGAATATCTAACTCTATTTGAATGAATACCTAACCCTTAAATAAAATCAGACCTTACACTTAATGGTTTTAAGGAGTGGTAGGTAAATTATAATGGACTAAGCACCAAGCCATATTCAACTAGTTTGTCACAAGTTAAACAGTTTTTTAGTTTCCAATAGTGTCACTTGAAAAGTACTGAAAGAATTTTCTTTCAATATAAAATTACAAGAAATATTTTCTGTGCTTATGAAATATTTGAATTCAAACAATCCATTTTTTGTGCAGTGGATTCACAATCTATTTTTAGTCAGAACAGGATAGAGTAATATCAAAAATACACACAATATTTCTATAAAATTCCTAGACTATGAATGTTTCATTGAAAATATCTCAGCATTTTCAAAAATACCTGTTGCTCAACATGCCTTCTATAAGGTTGTTATTTATGTAACTGGAATAACAAAAAAAATTATATATTTCAGAAACTGACATTAAATCCCATTTTCATTGCCCACAAAGACATGTATTCTGAAGTAAATCTTTCTTCAAAAATCGTTATCCATATAAACTATTCTTCCTTTTGGAAATTAAAAAGAGTTATTGAGTGCAAATCAAGGTTGAATTGTTCAAATATATTGAGAGGGTATACTGTATTACGTAAAGGCTCATAATTCAATGCAAAGATGACCCTGTTAGCACATATTTGTCTTAGGCAGTCAATCATTTAGAATTAATTAACTCAAAGACAGGCAACCATACTGTTCAAGTAATCTTTCTGCTTAACGTAGTGCCAGAATGTTTTTAAAAGGATTGCCAAATGAAGTGGGATATTATGAACCTATTAATTGCAGGAAACATTTGTAGGCTAGTTTTCTATCAAATTGTACTCAATAGCGAAACTGGAAAGAACCTCTTGAATTACCTACTTGGAGAATTGAAATGAAATGAACATTGTAAACAGACATAGTTCAAACCCAGATCTTTGACAGATCTGAGAACCTTATTATTGATATAAGTAGTAAGAGATATATTTTTTGTCTACCTTGAAAAAACTGATTGAATTGCACTTATTGATATTAAGATTAAATTTGTTTTCCACAACATGATTGATCTTGATTATCAAAATCTTCTTGCACATTTGATCCTCATTATTCTATTTTATGAACATGAATATTTTCAAGTCGTCGGCGAATAGCAAATAATCATAAATAATACTCGTATCTAAGTTTGCCAAATATTCTAATGGTTGACGTGAAAATGAAGACTTACTTCTATTTTTGCATATTTGTAAGTTTCAGTTGTCAAAACCAAACTATAAATCACGAATGATTGCGTTGGGGTAGGTAAGAGTGAATTAATCACAGATTCAAGTTTGTGATGGGTAGCTCATCTATATTCGGTCAAACAATAAAAAAAAACTATATTGATGGATTGATAAAAGCAATGCCACTTGAAGATATTCTATTCAGTACAGTAAAATAAACTACAAACCAATCAGTTCATTGAAAACGGGTTTGAATAGGTAGAGCAAGTTGGATTTGGGGATGTGAAGTATTTATTATGATATCTCACCAATATAGTTTACTGCAAGATTTTCACTATAACAGGTTTTACAGTATTTCTGTTTGAGGAAGATAGCCATTGTATAGCAAAACATGTGTTGAGATTGTGATTCTTTATGATCGGGTTAATTATATTGGTCTAGCTAACCAGTTGCCAATAACAAAGAAAAAGGAGTTGTTATCAAATTCTTGGGTTTCATAAAATATTCAAAATATTGTAGTTTTCAGTTTATTGAAAAATTTTTACTCTTCCTCTCTCTCACTTCCTCGAGTTTGAATTCAACCAAGTTGAAATCTTGGCTCAAACCTAATGGGTATTACCTGAGTAATGAACTGAGAAATGGGAGATCAAATAAAAACACCCAAAAATGTGCAAAGCACATATAATTCAGAGATTCACGGTAACAAATAGGTAGTGTGTGTGCTGCGGAAAGTATAAAAAAATTATATAAAAGCTATTCGAAGTACATCGTTTGAATGTAAATGAAATTTTATATCAATACTCTTTGATGTTTTACGTAGTGCATCGTTTCTGTTTAATTTTCCACATGAATGTTGGAAGAACTATCTGAATAAGTGAACGTGATTTCTATCTGATTGAATATTCATATATTTGAAAGTATTCATTTCAGATGGGTTTCTTCTTGAAGTTTGTATCTGAAATGAACTCCTGGGTATTTTATTTTCCACTACATGAGAGCCTTCTGACTTTTTCATCTCTCCCAAACTCCGGAAAACATTGCAGTCTCAGGATCTTATTGCGTTTTTCTTACATCTTGACACCCAATCCAACGATCTTGTTCTATGTACTAGTTTATACAAGACTCTTGCTAGGTGTTTGTCATATTCTTTTGGATATAATATATGATGTCCATAAATTGAATATCTACATAAAATGTTATGAGCTGATTACGTCATTTTGTTGCATCGCCTACAGGCATTGCCTAGAGCTAAGGTCTCCGTTGTACATCCCTTTTTAGTAGCACGGTAATTGTTCTGATATGATTCCTACTTTGTTGAAGTAGTTCTTCAGTTCTCAGACTGTCCTTTTATAGAGGTTTTTCCTTCTATATTCACTTTTCATTCTGAGTTCATATCAAAGCTCCTACAGCTGGTGTAGAGCCTATAATGTAAAAGTAGATGATCCATAAAAAACTTTCATGGCTAATGCGTAATGTTCTAGTGGGTAACTGAAATGAAGATTTCTTTCACCAGAGTAAATTCTGTGCATAATTGCCACATCTTTGTAAATTATTTTTATTGATAGTATTCACTTTCTTTCTTGCTTTGGAAGTTTCCCTCATTTTTTATATAATGATGGAGAAGTAGAAAACCAAAAATATTTTTCCCAAAAACAAATATTATCCCACTGTCAACCGTCATACTGAATTCATTGAATATGTAAGATGGTGCCCAATAATCATCATTATTGCCAGTTTTGGATACAAAAATAACAACCAATCAACGGACACAATTTTATGACCAAAAAGGACCTCCTTTTAAAACCCGTTACCTTCCAGTTGTTGCAGGGTGAGAATTATCGTCGTGGCGGAGACGGCTTCGCAACAACGCGAAGTGTCAAGAAGGTGTACCTCTGAGAAAACAGCGAGGAGGGCGGAGTGGTGGTACCCCCTAGAAGCCTAGGCAGGCCACCTCGACCGCCAAAATCGGGCCATAGCGCTCTACCCACCAGCAGCGGATCCTCCAGCTCCCCCTCGCCGCCCTCCTCGTCACCATCACCAACGCCTCCTAACACTGCCTCGTACATCTACAGGGCTTAGCCGCCCTACGAGCCGCTCCACAGTGACTCGTAGGCTCGGCTCTGCATCGTTAAATTTCGGGAAAATGATTGTTTCGGTCACATGCCTATGAAAAAAAAACTTGCAAGGAAATTTTACATTTCTCAAGAGGATTTAGATTCCTCCTGAGGATTTAGATCAGTATTGGGTCTCGATAAAAACTTCGTTTGAAGTTTTAACAGACAAAATAGTCTTCATCTTCTACTGGTTTGAATAATAAATTTTTATAGGAAACTTGTGAAAATTTTCGCTCCGTCATTTGTTAGTGAAAACTCAGAAACCTACATCTACTATCATTAACAATAGGAAAAACTTTCACTGTTTCATTACACAATTGATATTTGAATATTTTAAAATTATTTCAAAAGTTTAAATTGTGAAACATAAAATATTCCTAATTTTCATTTTTCATATTTAGCAGTAATGACAAGCTTCATTGGTAAAGTAAGCAGAAATTTCAATACTCTTTAATCTCGGATCTCTCGAATGATGAAAGACCTACCATATCTTTTTAAACTTACTATGTT